TACTAGGAATACTTTCAAAGATTACGTCAATGAATTATTAGCATTAAGAATCCCATTTTGAAGCTTTTAAGGAAGAACACTTTAAGTCTATTGTAGTGAGAATATGTACTCTGAGAAACCACAGACGGAATTTCCAAACATTATCAGTTTCTTATATTTTATTGTTTACCTTGGATTCTTCAGATAATCTTCACCATTTTACTCAGTTTTCCAAGTAAGTCTGTTTGAAAGACAAATATACCTTCCTGTACCCATTTATAGAATACTAAATGCCCAGAGGTATGAGGCTTCTTGGAGGCAAAAGAAGAATGACAGCTTCTCCATTTTTTGTCATATTGTCTCCACTCTACATTTTTATTTATATTTATTATATTTGTATTCTAGTCTATTTTATATTCCAAGAACCACATTATGTATGTGACATAGAATTGGTGCTCAATACATGTGTATTGAATTAAAGAATAGTTTTTGATGCTTTTTCATTGCATATATTATTTGGAACACATCATAAAGACACTTTCAAAGATAAAGTTGAGTTACCTCTTGAATCTGGCTAGACAAAGTTCATACCACCTTCTAGCAGATATTTACCAACACTATGGTACTAAACAAGGATTCCTATATTTTGGTCCACTGTTTGAGTCCAGAATTCAGAGCCCCCTGTTCATGGTAGCATTAAAAAATAAATCAAGATGGTGTGAATTTTCCAAAAAGATGTGTGTATTTAATTTATAATTCTTTTCATCTTCAAGTGAATTCTTGCCATTTCTGCTGTCAAACAACCTTCCATTTTACAAAATGAGGATTTCAGATGGTTTTGTTTCCTCTCTATCATCCTTGCCTGGTACGTGAGACTTGTGACCACACTTTTGCACAGCAGTGGACAGAAGCTGAAGAGTTTGGCATGTGGCTCTATGGAACGACAATCAGGGAGCCTTAGGGCTGAGAAAAACTAGGCTCCTGAGTGAAGGAGAGGCCAACCAGTAACTTCTACATGGTGATAATGAACTTTTATGTGTGTATATTTTGAAACGTGTCTTCATCCTTTATTTAAATAAACTATTATGGCTTAGATCTAATATGGGAATCTCATTGCCTGGTAGAATCTAATTAGGGGGAACAGTGCTAATAACAACTAGAAAAAAATAAGCCAGCAACCCCTGATAGTCCTTTGATTATTCTCCTTAATTTTCTGATCCATAAATCCTGAAGTCTGGCATCCCCCATGCTACAATGTGTTCCTGCTGTTTAAGTCCGCTTAAAATCAGAATTTTATTTACCTTGTATTGTATTCTGAAACACTGAAACTATTTCCAACATGATGCGCAGGATTTCCCTATTTCCAAAGGCAGGCAGGTTTACAGATCTTAAATTGGCCATAGACTCCATACAAATTTCTATTTTCCTTAAGCTTGCCTTTCTGCTTCTCACTGGACCACTGGCATCATGGTGACTCTGAACATGGTTTTAATATTCTACAACTATGGCACCAAACACAAAGTTTTGGTCTCTAAGGCAGCTCCCAATCATTATTATAGCTTGAAATGCCAGCTCATATTCCAGTAATAGTCCAAGACTACTGGATGTACATATTAAGTACTGGATTACTTACTTACTTCACCTGTTCTTTAAATACAGCTCTGTAGTTAACTCAGATAAAATAAAAAGTGTCCTATTTTTCAAATCACAAGATTTCCCAAACACACTTTGCTTTTTAAACCAATTTATCATGATAATCCTTTTAAGGGGGTGGGGCACATAGGGAATGGTAGACTAGTAATTTTTAGACATTTGAAAAAGATAAATGTAGGGTGCCTGAGTAGCTCAGTTGGTTAAGTGGCCGACTTTGGCTCAGGTCATGATCACAAGGTTCATGGGTTTGAGCCCTACGACAGGCTCTGTGCTGACACCTCGGAGCCTGGAGCCTGCTTCAGATTCTGTGTTTCCCTCTCTCTCTGCCCCTCCCTTGTTCATGCTCTGTCTTTCTGTCTCTCAAAAATAAATAAAAATGTTAAAAAAATTAAAAAAGAAAAAGATTAATAGGAGTTAAAAAATAGACAATAGATTGTTAATTGATTACCATTACTAGGCTGCAACCCAAGAGATGTTGAGAGATATGTTTAAATTTAATAAAAAGTCTGAAAGCTGCTGGAGTCAGCCAAGCAGGTAACATTTACGTTGTTATGTTACACAACAGGCTGGTTGTGGCTTCTGCTTTCTCTGCTCTTGAATTGTTGACAAGTTAGCTGAGGCTAACAGGGGTCATCTGCCATAATGGAATCTTAGAAAACAACAAAACACATCATTTATGGTTAGTTGTTGGGCTATTTAGATTGCTTTGGGATTTCTAAAAGGGACTAGGTCATGAGTAAAAGTGGCATTGCTCCTTGCTTTAGCTAAGCATACTAAATTCCCCAACCATCTCTTATGAAAGAAAACCCTCTTCTATACCTTCTGAGAACTGGATTTGGGGAAGCAAAAGCTGAAAAGACTGAGCCAAATGTTCTATCTTTGACTTAATGTCTCAAAAACCAGTTATATGGAGGAAAAGAAGGAAGCTTAGCAGCCATCACTAAATTGTGTGCTGCTGACTACAACAGCCTTAGGAGTTCAGAGAAAGGAACAATCAGTACTCCTGGGAGGGAATCAGTCAACGCATCATAGAGAGTTAGGATATCCATCTTACAACACTTCTCTTCTGATTGCCTGAATGGCCTAATTTTCAGGATGTTCAGAGATTATGATATTTTGCTGCTCTGGAGGCCCACTGTGTAAACAGGTGAAACAAACAACAGTATCACCCACAAGATGAGAGATAAGAATCCAGCAAGGGGAACTGATACAGATTCTCTTAAGAAAGTAACTTGCTCCTTGGTAGTGCCTGGGTAGCTCAGTCCATTAAGCATCCAACTCTTCACTTCAGGTCATGATCTGATGGTTCAGGAGTTCCAGTTCTGTATCAGGCTCTGTGCTGACAGCATGGAATCTGCTTGGAATTCTGTCTCCCTCTCTTGGTGCCCCTCCCCTGCTTGCCCTCTCTCTTAAAAAGAAATAAAAATAAACTTTAAATTAAAAAAAAAAAAAAGTAACTTGCTCCTTGAACCGCATTTGTACCATTGGCATCCACTAGCGAAACTTTTAATAACAGCCACAGTTGGCCAGAAGCAGATATTTCAGAGATGGCAATGGCAGAGTTAAAACTGACAAAAATCACAAATGCTTAAAGTCCCCACAAAAATATACTGTGATTATTTAAAATGAACGATGTTTTCAGTCACCAAACAAGAAAACAAAACAAAAACCCACACAATTCAAAGCTCCAAATGAACAGCCTATTGTGGCTGTGAAACTTGGTTTTGTATAGACATCACTACCCCCAAGTATTTCCATCTCAAAAATCCCATAGACTTGTCAGAACATTTACAAGAAAAGCCAAAATGCCTGGAAGGCTGAGCTTTAATTAAACATTAAAAACCTCTGCTAATAAAGTATTTAGGCATTTAACTCCAAAGTGATATGAGGTGCATCAGAAAGACGAGAACAGTTTCTTCTTTTCTAGTCCTGGAAATCAAATTACATTTTTTAATATTTGTAATTCTGTTCAACTCCAAACACCAGTGCATATTCAGTGCATTCAACCCCCAAAACACTTTATCATTTCATTAATTTTTACAGCTCCAGGTATCACAGCGGTGTTTTAAGAAGAGCACACTATTGAAATAAAGTAGAATAGCAATTCAGAGGTTTATAAAGCGCTTGCTCCTCATGTTAATATTGCTACATCATTGTAAATTTGAGAATAAAATGAACTTATTTACTATTAAAAGGGAATTTATGGCATGTCTAGTCACTACAGTCATGTACCCATATGAAACTATAAAGAGATGATGCCACAAATTCCACACCAGCTGTTGCTCTCTAGAACACTCAGGGGAGTGAAGGGTGCTATGGTCTCAGTCTGAAGATTTACTCAGTTATCTACACGGATAAGGTCAGCATACAAACAGCATTAACATATATGTGCCTATCTTGTACAGAATTTGTAGGTTTCTACAGAATATGCCTCCTATGTTACAGATGGGGTTTTATAATTCAGGAAGAGACAAGATGATACCCTTGCCTGGAATCTGAGAGGCAAGTCAGAAGGAGCTTATATTAAGAGAGAGGGATTCGACCTGAAGAGAATGATGGACTTTCATAGACATGGACATCTGGGTAGATTTCATGGCCACCTTCACAGCCTGATTTGAGAAGAGTGTGAAAGGTCTGGATGTCCCAGAACATGTTTGTAGTCATGTCCCTCTTTCATGCTGAAATGTCATGGAATCCTTTTAAAATGCAGCTGCCTTGGGCTGAGAGGAGTTTATCAACCTCACTGCTAGTAACTTAAGTTCTGAAGGTTAGAGGGTACAGGCAACAGGGTAATTTGATCAGGGAAGAATGGCTCAGGAGACGGTGGCACCTGGAAGACAGCAAGACAACACTGGGTGAGCAGAAGGAAGTAAGAAGCACTCTTACGCTCCGGTTTTTAATGACCTCTCTAAAGTATCTGGGACTTTTGATTATTCTATAGGTTTTAAGTTTTAGCATCATATAACGGTCAGGATCTTGGGCTATGGATTTCAGCAGCTCAGGGTTTACCTCCTGACTCTTGTTCTTCCCTGCTGAGCAGGGTACTTTACCTCTGTAAGCCTCATTTTTCTCAACTATAAAATACAACTATAACAATAATAACAAAGTGGTGATAAGGTTGAAATGAAACACGACTAGAGTATTTAACTCAACTTTGTTGAACATCTAATTCTCGATTTTGGCTCAGGTCATGATCCCAAGGCTGTGGGATGGAGCACCAAGTCGAGCTCCAGACTGAGCGTGGAGCCTGCTTAGGATTCATATTCTCTCTCTCTCTCGCTCTTGCTCTCTCTCTCCCCTCTCTCTCTCTCTCTATCCCCTCCCCCCTCTCTCCCTCTCTGCCCTGTGCTCTCTCTAGTAAAAATTTAGTGCTCGCTTCTGCAACACATATACTAAAATTGGAACAATACAGAGAAGATCAGCATGGCCCCTGTGCAAGGATGACACAAAAATTATCTAATAAAAATTTAAAAAACAAAAACAAAATAAGTTCTTATTGTGAATATTACTATGTAGGAAGTAACAGAGGCAGTGATAGAAAATAAAGGGCGGGCTACTTTACATATGATCATTCATATCATTTATCCTTTAATTATGCATAATTTTTATAAAGTTGTGATCTCCATTTGCATCTTTCTCACTATTTATATCACAAGTATTTTCCAGATTCTCTATATACTTGTAATTATTTTCTTTAATAATTGAGTAAGATTCCTCAATGTTTTTGTTTCATTATTTGATAAGTCAATTCCCTGTTGTCATTCATTTAAAGGAGTTTCCAGTGTTTGCTATTACCAAAAACAAAGTAGCATACATCTTTAGGAATCTGGCTTTTGACCTGTCAGAAGTAGACTTTCTGGGTCAGGGAAACTGTTCCAGCACTTGCTTACATGTGGCCATAATGCTTGCCAAAAAGCCCCCAGCAACAAATGAATTGCTAATTCTCCAATGTTACTAGCATTAAATCCTGCACTTTGACACCGTTTCTCCTTGCCTTCTCAGCCATAACCACATCATCTGAACACCTTTCCAACCTTCATTTCACAAATCAGTTACATTCTACCAAGGTAAATCAGCACTGCTTAAAAAGTCACTTTACTGGCCACCTAGGTGGCTCAATTGGTTAAGCGTCCAACTTCTGCTCAGGTTATGATTTTAGTTTATGAGTTTGAGCCCCTCACTGGGCTCTCTGCTGTCAGTACAGAGCCCACGTCAGATCTTCTGTCCCTATCTCTCTCTGCCCCTCCCTACTTGCACTTTCTCCCTTTCAAAAATAAACAAACATTTTTTAAAAAGTCACTTAGTGTTTCCTCAGTAAGACTGAATTCTTTCAGGACAGAAGCCTTCACTACACCTAGCACATAGCTTGGGACACAGATACTCAATTCTAATTTTAATTTATCAAATCCTACAGGTTTCCTCCATTCTGAACAAAGCAGCACACTATTCAACTTGTAATAACCTCGTCATATCTAGGAGGGTCCTGTGTTCTAGGATTTGAAATTGGGAACATTTTCAAATTTCGAAAAGGGTGCCATCCTTTTTTTGCAGGTTATTATCAAATCAGCATTGAGTAGTTAATACTAAATGAAACTTATACAAAATCTTTCCACATGATGCTAGGCAGCAATTTTTTCCCCACCCCACCACACTTTGTATCCTGGCCTAGGCTTATAACCTATAGGAACACAAATCTGCATTCCTAGGGCTCCTCAGGGATACAGAACAGCACTTTTGTCTGTGTTCTTAGGCACATATACCACTTGCTAATGCTGTTTGCATGCCTCTGCCCAAATTAAAGTGATCAGTCTGCCCTGTTGACTTTAATGGAGGTAATCACCAGTTCACATTCATGAACAAATTGATGTGCTTGCTTCATAGCTGAATCATCAGCATAAATCTATACCTCTCATATATAAAAACCTCAGTGGCTTAAAATAATGCAATAAAATATCACCTAATGCCTCCTTGATGCCTGTTCATCAATAATGTGTGGCTATGTGAAAAGGATAGGAGAGATTTAGAATATGTTATCTTAAATCATGCAGTGAATATAATGCCATTTTAATTACTGAAGGCCTCCTGGGATTATGTTTTCTCCATCCTTTCATTGAGGAAATGAATTATTCTTCTTCACTATTATTTGGTTTCTCAGAGTCCCATGTAATAAATGTAATCTTAACTGATTTCCAGTGAATAGACCATGTTGACCTTCATACATGGGAGATGAATCTCCTGCTGCATATCAGGGAGCCCAGAGCTCCAGGATCTATCTCTGGCAGTGGAAAAGCCTTCCTGAACCATCTGGTGCTTGACTTCTGGTAGAAGCCAAGGAATTTTTGCAAAAGAAGATCTAGATGAATAAATGAGTGCATCTACTCGGTATAGCTTGGTCATACATTTTAAGATGGCAAGTGGTAGTGGGCAACCAAGGCCATAACCACAGTTCAGAAGAAATCTAACTATCCAAGCCAATACTGAATCTGTGACTTCAGCCCTCTTTGCACAAAATTCTAACTTGATAAGAGAGAAGTCCCTACCTCTAACTTATGCCTCAGGGTTTTGGGGGGGGGGGGGCGGAGAGGAGGCAGTGGTCAAGGTGCCTTCATCAGTTAAATTGTTAGTAACTGACCAAGGTTTAATTCCTGATCCACATGTCCCTGACAACTTCCCATTCACACCAGCTAATAGGAATAGATTGCTCTTGTAAAGGTCTTCAGGCTTACTGCCTGTACCACTAGTGACTACTTACCACATACTATTGTCTGATTCATTACTTGTGATATGTACAAATGGATGGATAATTACATACATGCAGAATTAGATATGCAGACATACAGATATCATTCATCTTCAATTAAATTTTAACCTCCTTGAGAACGGTTGTGTTTTATTCATCTTTATGGTCCCTACAGCCCCCTGTACAAGATTTTTCATACAGCAGGTATAAATGCAGTTCCAAGAGCCTCCCTATCCTGGATGTATTCCTACCTTCTGCCTCACCTGTACCTACCTCAAATAAGTCCTACTTCATCTTTTATCACAGTTTACCCAGGAAAAGGATGCTAATTGATTAATCAAAGTAACTATCCACTAAGGTAAAATTATTTTCTCCTCCTAGAGAAAAATATTCTCTAATATATTCCTCCTCCTATAACACCTTAACCCAATTAAGATGTTCAGGTCCTTAAGAATTTTGAGGAAAAACTGTACCTTGTAGAAACTTCAGGGCCCCTGTGCAAGATGTTGGAGAAATATGTTAGGACAAGAACCTTTCTTTAAGCTCTGTAATATTTACCTAAAATTTCTTTAGTCTTTCTTTTCTATGACCACCTGTTTTGGTAAATCAAGTAGTATTGGAGCACATCCTTACCCATTCACTTATTTATGCTCTCCAACTACTTTTTCACTCGAAGGGCAGAGTTGAGTAGTTACAACAGAGTCCACACACCTACAAGCCATGATTTCCTATCTAGCCCTTTTACAGAAGAAGATTGCAAACTCCTGATTTATATGAAAACTTGGGGAGAATCAACCAGTTAATTTTGTCATACCTGCCAAATATGCCAAAGCATCTGCATAACAAGAAATGGGAAAGGCACTATATTTATGACACCAGTGCAATTAAGAAAATCAAATAGATCAGGAAGGGGATCACATTATAAGCCTACAAAACCACATGCCCCTCCCAGGTCTACTTAACAATGAGTTTTGGGACAAAATGAAGAAAATAAAAGAGGTTGGTGGGAGACAGGAGAGCTGAGGGTGGGACAGTAGTGGGACACCAGAAAGGAACTCAAGATGTTGTATACTGCCCCTAAGCATTTACACAAGAGGTTTGCTGGTGAACAGAGTCAAGAGAAGCAAGTAGGAGTCAATAGTGCCATGCGGCTTATCTCACAGCATAGCCTCTTCAATCACCCCTTCCTGAAACAGAAGGCTCACTCTCCACTCGCTGGGCTTCTTTGAATTAGCCAAGATGGTTATTTTGCATCCATCTTGGATACCCACTTTGTCTTTCATTAGACACCACTCTATCTACCCACTGGGCTTCAGCAGTCTTCACAGTGATCTCAAGACAAAGACCTAGAATATAGCTAACAGAAGGTACTGGGTCCCCCAATAGCTCTTTGGCAGAAGCCTGCGCCTGGTCACTGCAATGGGAATTGTTTTCAGGAAGATATCTGAGAACCTGTCTTATTACAGCTTTAGAGGGCTCAAAGTAGACTATAGCAATGGGCGTATGGGAGATAAATACACTCCAGCACGGAGCCACACAAGGGAGGAAACTGAAGAAATGATGTTCAAGCAAGCTCCCACCCTTAATAGCCATATTCCAAGCCCTCAGGCACCTATACATTCTTTCATTTCATTGCCTCCTGGAACCTTTCCAGGCTTGGTCTTTCAAAGCTGCTTGCTCCATCTCACTTGCACTCGATGGCCAGCTTTTCTTTTCTTCATTTCACATCTCTTATTTCATTCTTTTCCCCATTCTTTCCTTAAGTTTCAGTTCTCCCCTTGGTCTGACTCCAAACTTGTGTTAGTACAGAACACAGCTCTCCTTTTCAGGGCTTGCCCCTAGGGGAAAGCCCACCCAGTGTCATGCCCAGACTAGGTGGTAGTCCAGGTCCCTCAGGTACCAGGGAGAGGACAGAGCTGTCAGGCTCTGATACAATGTCAGCAAAGCCATCCACATGTAGCAGCACTCATACTCTCCAATACCCTGTCACATGTGTTCATTCTCATCCCAGTTCTGCTCTCTTTACCTTTCTTCATACTCTTGTTCTTACTACATGTTCTCCTTTGCTTAATGCCTATGAGTGCTTTTACCTAGCTATCTAACATCATTAACCAGGGGGCACCCTCTCACCTTCATCGTTACCTATAAATTTTAGAGCTCTTTCTTGCAAGACACACACACAGCCAGCCAAAGTCTTCTGATTCCATTGATAACTGATGCTTTTATAAATCTCTATAAATCACTCCCAAGCTAGAAACTCCCTTGTTGAGTGCTCCACACCACCTTAAGCCTGCAAATGCACCAGTGCCTTGCTCAGCTCTGAAATCTGACACACTTCCATGCTGCTCAAAGATCAGGGCAGAGCTGGGGTGCCTGGATGGCTCAGTCGGTTGAGGGACCAACTTCAGCTCAGGTCATTACCTCAGTTCATGGGTTTGAGCCCCACGTTGCACTCTGTGCTGACAGCTCAGAGCCTGGAGCCTGCTTCAGATTCTGTATCTCCCTCTCTCTCTGACCCTCCCCTGCTCATGCTGTCTCTCTCTCTCTCAGAAAAAAAAAAAAAAAAAAAAAAAGATCAGGGCAGAGCTGTGCCAGATAGTAAGCATCAGAGTTATTTAAGTACACCTAGGAGCCATATCAGAATAGGCTCTGTCACATGGAACTCATGTTCTTCTAAGGTGACCTTCAAGCAGCCACTTCCACCTTGCTGGGAAACAGATGTGGCCATCAT